AATCTAGACGATATGTTTCAATATGAGGTTATTTAATAAATGCACTGTAACTGGCTGTTTGCATCTACCAATGTGCTTCATAAACGATCCATCACTTCGCCAATAATTTTATGACTTAATTCCTTTGAAGATCATTTTGTAGCCTTGATGTTCACTTGGTGTTCATCGACGCCCGGATTTTTCTGTATTCTGTCTTCTTGCTATCAACCAATGATGGAAAAGTTCTGTTCACCAAGTGTTATTAGACATTGTATAATTTATTTAGATGGCCGAAGGATTGAGTGAAGAGATATTTCCTTTTCAATTAGATTCTCACCTATGGCTTTACTCTCCTCTAATATATATATACATATACATATATAATAGTCTTTAATATAATACAGAAATTTACTAATGCAGTTTACAACAGTAAGTCAATATTAACACATCCAGCTAGAGGGTGATCATTAATCAAGGAAATGAATGCAAACATTTAAGGGATGGAAATAATTGCAAATACCTAAACAAGTTGATTACGTAATATATAAAATTGAGAAAATAGGGGTTGATTAAGAAACAAATGAGTGTTGAAGTTGATTACGCAATAAGCAGTCCAAGATGAAGTAGCCAGAATGATAAAATAATTTATACAATGATAACTTGTAAAATGCCTAGGGGGAAAGAGGGAATATATGTGTAAAACTTGCGCACTGTGGTACACACAACCATACAATAGGATGGGATAGAATGACAGTTTTAAAATGCAGTGTCACAGGGTGGAGAGAGATTGATAACGGAAGCTTTGTTCATCGAATCAACTGTAAACACGTGTAATGGAAATGATTCAACACCTGTCCCAGATATCTGGAAAATTCTACTACCCCTACGACTACAAACAGGAGAGAACAAAGAAAACTATAAAACTCAAGTTTCCAAGTCGTGTGATTGTAATTGATATGATAATGAACAATACTAGATTGTGTTCGAAACTTTGTCATCCAGTAAATAATACTGTTTCACTTTGTATGTGATATATCTAATAAACAAACTAATAGGAAAAGAGGGAAATTGTCAGTCGAATACATTCATGTAACGACGGCCAGAGGTAGAGAAAGTGGTTACACAAATTTTTTCCTCAACACACAAATTTCGCTTATTCAGATGGACTCCGACGGTTTCAGTTGTGTGTTGAAGACCAAATCGTAGAGCATAATTCATATTAGTCGGAATGCATTAAATAACTGTAAAGGCCTTATTGATATCGACTTTATGCTCACTATCTACAAGGTGTGCTAAAACAGAACTGGTTAGGAATGGATCTTGTTTTTTCATTGCTTAACCATCCAGGATGATGTTTGGGAATGCGATGAAGAACCAGCCTAATTGAAAGCTCAATGTAACTAGGGTCTCACGAAATGTCAAGTAGTATATACACACACGCAGAGGAGGTGAGTGTATTCATGAGAATTACTCAGTTTGTATATTATTGTGCTTATGTATAATATTCCCCTTACTGTAAGTTTTCTCCTATAGGTGAATAGAAAGTATTTAGGACACTTGCCACTCTTGATGACTGAAATTTCTTGAATACTAGAAGTGTAGTAACCCTTAATAGGTAACCTGAAGGCTCATAGAAGCTGCTCACACTCAGAGTTGCTTCATATCAAATCGAAATAAGACACCTCATGATGGGGTTAACTGATAGACTCACTGTAACTCTTCACTATCTCCATCTTTTTATGTGCTTCACAAATTGCTTGTTTAATCTATTTTTATATGAGTCTCTTGCGCTTGCTTTTCTTGATTCTTTCACAATCTGCTTGTTATCAATCATCTGTAAAAGTCTATTTGTCTGCCTCGATACTTTTTTAAATGATCGAGCTCCGTCAACCATACTGATGAGGTCAGAAGATATCTCACATGATACAGGATGATATGCTAAATTGACGTGTCTATCTACTTATGTATGACGTAAATGTTCACCACCTGCAATGCTTAGTTATCCAATGAAAACCAGACTGATTGATGATGTAAAACAGTTGAGAAATGAGTCAGTGAGATTCACTTTAAATATTTTCTTTTGTAAAGAAGCATGATTTCAATCAAATGATACTGTTGAGTATAAAACTATGTGAGTTAATTGTTAACTAGGCATAAGAGGCAAGTATTTGCTAAATATGTGCTAAATTGAAATCAAATAGGAATGTGTAAAGTATGATTAGTAATAACAGTGATAGTAGGCAGACGAATTTATAGTGTGATTTATTGTTTTCCATGCCTAGCAGATGAACTGTTAGTTTCACTAAATATTCTATTATTATTGTTATTCCCTTGAAATCTGAGTGGAACAATAATCTTCAGTATTACATTTCCACTTTCTCCTGTTGTCTGCAGTCCTCTTCAGCTGGCTCTCAACTTGTAGTTCCGCAACCGGGTTATACTCGAGGCCCTGGCACGAGTTGTCCATGGTTCGTTCCAAGGGTTCCTTATCACTAGTTGTCAAGGAACTTAGCCCTAAGCTTCTAATGTAACGAAGACGCTTTGAACCGATAAAGACTATGTACTTGTCCCAACTTCAAATCCAAAACACCAGTGGTTGTAAGAAGAAAGTAATATTGTTTGGCAATTAAAGTGAAGACAACTACAAAGTTTACAAACAAATGCTTAGTACAAATGAAGTTATAAAGTAATTTTATTCGTGTTCTTTCTGCCATCTTCCAACTTGCACGCGATCGTACTATTCGCGCCTTCGAGTTGCCCACCAATGGCTGCCAGTTCCAATAAACAAATGTTCAGTGTTCACGTCCATTGACACTAGTCCTCTCAAAACTTCTGATCTTCAGTGAAAAATCAGCAAAAGACAGTTGTTGGTTGAAGTCTGAAGCCAGTTGGAAATGTATTTCATGAAGCACCAATTCTCCGAATCATTTCGACGAACTGACTGAATTAATACTGGTGTTTAAAATCCAAATTTCGTTCTTCATTCTGAGTGCATTAGATTTCCAAATTAATTTCAGACTGATGAATTTCAGTCTTGTCTTTGCGATTCTGGCCACTTGCTTCACTTATCTAGGAAATATCGTTTCAACCTACAGGCAGATAACAATGATGAGGATATAAAAGCTAGAATTGAAAAGGCGAGTCAGAGCTTCATCAGTCTGAAATCAGTTTGAAAATCTAATGCACTCAGAATGAAGAACAAAATCCGGATTTTCAACACCAATATTACATCATTTCTTCTATATGGGTCAGAAATATAGCGCATTACGAAAATCATTCCCAACAGCTGACTTTGCTGGGTCCAGATCAGATGGCCAGAAAGTGTGAACACTATGAAACTCTAAAAATGAACCAATCAAGAACCTCTGGCTCAAGACATATGCCACACAAAAAATGAAGATGAATGGTATACATTCCGAAGAGACCCGTTGTGTGACACTGAACGTCAGGCGGTGGCTCAAATGGAACCCAAGTGGGAAACGATGAGTTGGGCATTGACCTGAGGGCGATATGGAGGAGATTGTGTCAAAAGGAGATGACAGCTTATCGGTAGTCGTGAGGCCAGCTGAAGAGGACTGAAGAGAACAGGAGAAAGCGGAGAAGTGCTGTTGAAGACCTATGTTCCACTCGGAACTCAAAGGAATAATAATAAATAATAATAATAACAAATCACTCAGCGTATGTATGTATACTTTAGAAGCTTGGTGGTGGTGGTGGTGGATTCAACATAGAACTTGGCACTGAGGTGCAGCAGTTCGAGTTGCCACGTTCCAAAGGTAGGCAGGAAAATGAGAGAAGAGAATCAATAGAGTTTTGACAAGTATAAGAGTGAAACAGAATGAGTAATGGTAGAAAGGAATATGAAAGGTTAAAGAGACTGAATACATCTGCGTAAGCCATTGACAACGATTTTGAGCCATGTCACCTATTGTCTCCAGCCATTGATTCTTAGAGTCCCGAGGGCCCCAACCCGGAAGTCTGCATCTCCCTACCTGACTCAGTTTAACTGTCAGGGATTTCATGGATTGATGCCATGTTTTTGTTTGGCCACCACTTACTCTTTTCCAACCTGCACCTATATCAGCTAGTAATGCCCGTCGGGGGAGACGATGGTTAGGCATGCGCAGCACGTGGCCTATCCATCTCAATCTATGTAACCTTATAGCCTATTCGATTGATTTTCCCTCTTTGCCCAACACTCTACGCCTAACGTCAACATTACTTACCTTATTATACCACCTAACGCGAGAAAGTGATCGTAAACACCTGTTGTCAAAAACAGACAATCTCTTCATGTCTTCCGCTCTCAATGGCCACGTCTCACCGCCATAGAGAAGGACGGAGCGAAATGCTGAGCAGTATACACGTCCCTTGGTTGATAGCCGAATGTCACGCCTACGCCAGAGACGGTGTAAGTTAGCGAACTTTAGAAGCTTGGCATATTACTGAAAACATTTCCAACAAACTACTGCAAACTTTCACTAACAACTGCCTACTTCTCTCGTTACTCAACATCAGATAGCCGGTTAAAAGGGATCAAGGCAACGCACAAGGCAACTGATAGATAGTACATCAGTCAATTATCTTTTGTTCCACAGTTATGCCAAAGTAACGCGAGATGCATGGACTGGAAATACATCAAACACCTTTAATTGGAAAGCGAATTATTTGGCATCCATGATCGATAAACAGAAGACCTAGGGAATAGGAACTGAGAGTCTTTGAGCCAGTTGTATAGCCAGCTAGGTGTCATGATAGTGAAGATGTGTTTGATAAGCGCTATGCTCTATTCAAAATACATGGAACGGAATACAATAATAGCTATACCAATAACACTTAATAATATTAATGATAATACTTGTGTGCGTCGGTGGCACAGTGGTTAGGACTCTCGCCGACCATGCACATGGTCCAGGGTTCGATCCCCTGCCGACGCACACCCGATATCTATGGTCGGCCTGTAAATTTGGGCTACCGATATCCATGCTGAAAATTCCATACTTGTACTGAAAATACGGTGTGGAATCAAGTTGTAATCAAAATAAAAAATAAATAAATACTGTTAGTACACTCAGAAATATCAACTGAAAATATATCGGATGTTTTCAAAGACAATACAGTTAGAGAATGTTGTAAGTACATTACACGATTTGATGCGACCACATATGCACACACACATACACACACTGACGATAAAAAGGCACTTTAGTGAAATCAAATTCTTTAGATGATTGTAATAGTCATAACACATGTCTATTTATACCTATAATTTAGAAATGATGAGGTGTAAAATAACGATGATGATGAATCTTGGAAGAAAAAAACCTTAAAATGAAAGTCATTCAAACGGTTCGAATAATAAATTATCACGATCATAACATATACACAAAGTTCATACATCTTCAATTACAACAAATATCACATATGATCTGAGTGGAATAGAGTCCAGTGTTCCAGTCACTACTCATTCATCATAATTAAAATAGTAGGATGCATGAAATGATAACAACAGAGACCAACAGTAGTAATACTTTAATGTCTGGAATATACTTAATTTGTGACGATGTAATAGATAACTCGTAGCCATCGGGTAATCTAAAACACAGAAACACAAACAATGGCAAAAACGGGAATATAACAAAGTTTAGCAACCAACCAATTTCTCGATTTTAAAGAAGGACAGTAAACAAAAACTACAACAATCAGAAGGAACAAAAATAAACCAGTCACTATTATCAATGTAGATTTCATCACGAATCACCATCAGTTAGAGGGATAAATCGAAAACTATGAAGCAGTAGATATTGCTGTTTCGTCCCAGTTTGAGACTCTTCACAGTGGGCGTCCACCACTCAACCAGGGGTTGAACTTGAAACCTTTCGGTTAAACAACGAGCTCGCCGACCATTCAGTCACTCCGGTCGGAATTTCGAATGACTCGTAAATTCTAACTAATACTAGTACATTTCAAAAGGAAGAAACTACCAGTAAAGAAATGAGATAAAATAAGAAGTACGATAGTGGTGTACAGTATCATATGAGAAGGCGACGTGAGCATAGCCACAGTGTAGTATTGCAATGTCAAATCAAATCGGGGAACCAAGAGTTCTTTGCATATCAATTTAATATGTTGTCACTCGTTACTGTATTATGTCGTTGCTCCATTAAAACTATATTCTCAAGAGCTTGTTTGTAAGAATTTGACTTACGTCAATACACCTGATGCTAGTGACTAGTTGCAGGATAAAGTTGCCTGGAGTGGGTTATAGTGAGAAACGGTGACGAGTGAGGTCCACCACCAAGTTTGGAGTGGGATAAATACTTGCCGATAACAATAGTTGGTAGTTGCCCTAAAATCACGAAATGGCATAAATTAGAATTCATGGGCATTTGAGTTGGGTCCCAGTGACTGAATGGTCTACGAGCTTGCCTTGTAACCGGAAGGTCCTGTGTTCAGGCGCAGGTGTGGTCATTGGTTTTTACTGCTGAAGAGTCTCAAACTAGAGTGAAATAGGTGTCTAGTACTCACTGTTGGTTTCCAATGGTTCTCTAACTCATATTAATGTGTGATTAAACTTAAAGGCAAATTCCATCCAACATTTCACATTATATACTACGACAGAGTGTAAGGTAAAAGCTGCACATGCATCTACACTTCGTGATACACTTTTCTTCAGTTAAACAAGCAGAAGTCAGTGCTGTAGAACAGAAATGGATAAAAATATGCAATAAGGATTGAAATGGGAAATTAGCTTCCAGGCATTTTAATAATTGGCTTACAACAGAATATTATTTTTCTAAAGTTGGTTTGTAAAGATTAGTTTTGTTTTTACGAGTTGATCATGGATTGATATCAGTTAGAAAACCAGGATTCCCTGGATAAGTTTCTTATGTAAGGGAATAAAAGCCACACATATTGTGTGGGACCTAACAATACTACACATCTGTCCACTAATGGTAGATAAGTATTCAAAAAGAGAAACTGTTGGTTAGGAGTCAAGTTTCCAGGCCAACTGGCCACAATTCCGTTCACAGGCAGAGGAATTGTGTGATAAGTAACAGAAGCAATTTTATGTCCAATAATTGAATTAAAGTCAGTACAGCTGCATTTAAAACTAGGTTGAATTTTATTGTCTAGCAGTCGAAATCTCCATTCTTTGTCTGGATTACATCATATGTTGGATAACTTAAACTGTACAGTATGGGAAAATGTTAGGTCTCATTTCTTTGGGAATATTGCTGAAAAGTTGACTAGTCACTCATCTTTCTGCTACTTTGATGTATTTGCCTTGGCGCATACATTTGCATTCATAAGCGTAATTGAATTCTACTTCCGAAGGGTAGGTAATAGTCCACCTTCGATTGAAGAAAGATCAAAAGTGGTTCCGCAAAAAGGAACAACACTAAAGCTATCAGATAAATTAAAGTGGCAGCAAGAGTACTTTCAAACCATGACTTTATTGATGACTTTTTGTACCTTGCAGGACAGACACTGGGGCAAATAAATAATGTCTAGCCTAAGTATCCTTTTGCAGTATGTACCCCTCTCAATTGTTACACATCTAGTTGTCTCATGAACAAACAGAGAAGGTGTAAATGATTGGCATGCTCATATCACAATATCCAAATAAAATGTTTTGGTACATTATATTGAGACACTGAAGTAACTTATGAGCATGTCTTACGTCTTTGTTTGTCACAAATATACTATCCATATGACTCGCATACAAGCGGGTATCGTCAGCTACCCACTTCATTTTGTTCACTTCAGCATTTAACATAAATATGAAGACACTATATAATGAAATCATGTTAGTTTACCCTACTTTGACAATAACGGATAACCTATTATAATCGACTGTTTCGACAAAGTAAACAAGCACACACTAATACACTCTAATAAGTAAGTCTTACCCAGGGAGTTCAAGTGGAGGTGGAAATAAATCCTCCACTCCTCCCGATTCTTCCAATTCTCCTTCTTCCTCTTCCTTACCAGATTCCAATGTAGTATCAATCAATTGTTTTTCACTGAATGAACCGTCTTCTAATTTATCTATTACCATTAATTCAGGATCAGGACCTCTCCCAGTACTTTTTTCATAAATCATACGACCACCAGTTCTTAACCGCTTCCCTAACTAAAATGATTGGATAATGACAGAAAAAAAATTAAAAATATATTATGGCTAGTTGGTGGCATCAAATATCAGTGAATGCAAGAACTTGATAATATTTACCTCTCGATACTTAACACCTTAAGAGAAATAACTGAGCTACTTCAATAGGACGTCTGTAGCTTCAATATTCCTGCTCATCGCTCATCTCTAAGAGTAGTTTGAGCCAGACTTAAGATTTGTAATATTATTATTATTATTGATAGTATCACTGTTTTTATTCTACTGGGTTCCAAGTGGAATATTGGACTTCAACAGCACATCGCCATTTCACTCTACTCTCTGCAATCCATTCCAGCTGGCTTCAAAAGATCTTCACCATGTCACACTAATACACCCAACTCATCATTTTCTATTCGAGTCAGATTCTAGTGTCTGGCTTAACATTCATCTCAATGTGTGTTCCTCCAACCTCCATTTCCATTTGCATATTTGTTAAGCGATGAATTTTTGACCGATTCGTTGTCCCGCTTCCATGTTGCTTGTTCACCCGTTCCGGTCATCTGATTTTAAGTAACCAAAGAAGTGTGCAATTGTTTATGAAAGTTTTGCAGCAGCCTTCTGGAAATGCTTTTCTTTAGACACACACCAGGTCTCTCGACCACAGAGTAGCACTAGCTGCCTTGACATTGGTGTTGAAGATACGAATCTTGTTCATTATGCTATGTTGATTAAGTTTCTGCACTACCCTGCTTATCGAATCCTGACTTTGATATCCTCATCTGTGCCAGCCGGTAGTTTCAAATATTACTGCTCATCATGTTTTCAGTTTAACATCAATCAACCCTCTTAACATCAGCATTAGTCTGTCAGTTTGAGAGTTATCTGAGCGAATTAAAAGTCAGTCTGCACGAAGAACATTCCTCTCAATAAATTTTCCTATTCAGGCTCTTAAAATTATAGAATCTAGTATTTCTTATCATTACACAATAATGGTCACTTATCTGGCGGATATATTTTTACGTAGAATAATAGACTATTAGTTATATAGGATGACAAAATAAATAGTATTTCTGTGACAAACGTACTGTGCTGAATTCAACTGCAAAATATTACGAGATGAGAGACGATAATGGTGATTAGTCATAACAGATCTATACAATGTGGTGAAGGAAAACTGGCAAGTCAGACCCAGGTTATAAAAAGTGTCTATTAGGTCACTGACCAGTACAAACTAGTATGCAACAGAGAGGAGATAGTAAGACTGAGGTGAATAATCCATCATCAAAATCACCAATATGTGAAATGAAACAGGTGGAGTCAAATATCGAGAAAAGAGATAATATCATTCTACTTAAAAATGTACCCTCCACTTAACTGAAAGTTGTTGTAACGATAACAAAAACATTCTAAATTATAAATATAGTAAGAACCTGTAGAGGATTTAGTCAAAACAATATTCTTCATCCGGAATGGCTTTCAGTTCATGATATGGGAATATTTCACACTATAAACTCTTATCTGAAGGATCTTTACGGAGAAAAAGTTGTTCTTAAGCTAAAAGAAAAAAATGAATACAAAACTGATTGATCACAAAATGATTTTATGTTTAAACTTATCATAAATGCTAATGAGATTCTCCTAGATAATACTAGTTAGGCAGACTGACTTTGGTACGGAAGGCCTAATAATCGAGTCGAATTTGTTGTCTAGCTATCCTACTAAGTTAGCTGTGGGCACCATCTTAATCCTACCTGAAACATCAATGAGTTACTTACGAGAAAGAACAAATAACAGAACCACACGTCCTACAAGGTGTCTGCTACTCTAATACGTCACTTATTTATTGTTATACCAGATTTTAAAAACCGTAGAATGGAATCAAATCAACACTGTTAATTAATTACAGTCTGGAGTATCTATCAGAGAAATTAGCAATTATCAATGACATCAAATTGTAACTAGTGGAATGCACGAATTAGCCACTATCTATGATTGCTACTCATAAGCTTTTAGTAACTTCTATCGAATCATTTCAGTATAAAATATAGCGAAATATTAGGATAGTGCGAGTGAAATATGGGGCTTCATGATTTGTAGTTTTAGTACCGGTGGTGTTTCCTCTGCGGAGTCTCACTACCCGCAGCCCAACGGCAGGATTTAGCAGTGTACCGACCGGAAATCAAGCCCAGACCACATGCATGATTTGTGAACATTCAACCCATGAACAACCCATCTACGAAATGACAACTGAGAAATTATTTGTGCTTTAAATGCCATTCATCTTCATCAAAATAGATATGATAAGCTTATGCTACCTCTTTTTATAAATTTTACTCAACAAAACTTTCCTAATCATTAATTTCCCTTTTCAGTGTGTAAATGAATCAGTCAAGGTTAAAGACAACAACATGGTAGCAACTTTTAAAAGTTATTGATTGTACAAAGTGCTTATGGATTAAATAACTTACTACTTCAATAGTACTTTTATCATCTCCACGATAATAAATAGCACTAAGTCCTTGACCGGGCACGTTTTCAGTTGTGCTACCACGAGTATATAGTAAGAATGGTACATCTCTTTTAAAACCAAGATTTTTCACTTTCTCAGTACTTCCACTCCATGTTCCAAAATTGTCATAATTTACTAAGGTCAATGCAAAGTTCGTTTGAACTCCTATCGCATCACCTTTAACAGTAACCTTTAAAAACAAACAAAGCGATATATATATATATCAATATGTCACTTATCTAGAAAGCATGGTTTCAACCACAGGCAGTTGGAATATGTCAAAGCAGACCAGAGTCGGAAAGGCAAGATACCCCTCATCAAACTGAAACCAGTTGGGAAATCTTCTGCAATTTGCAGCATAAAGAACATAAAGCGGATTTAAAACACCAATGTCAAGTCCATCCTTCTATTTGTGTCACAAAATTGAAGTGTAATGAAAAGAATTTTCAGCAAGTTACAGACTTTTATCAACGGTCGCCTTCACTGGCTCCATACTGAAGATCAAATGGCCAGCCAGAAAGGATTAACAACAAGAAACTCTGGCAAGAAACCAGCCAAGAGGCGATTGCTCGACAAATATATAGGAGTAAATGGAGATGGATCAGGCATACGTTTAGGAGGCAGTTGAATGACATTGCGCACAATGCAGAAGAGTGTTCGAGTGGAGTCCTGATGGGGAGCGACGAGCGGGTCGTACTAGGGTGACACGGAGGAGATCGTGCGAGGCAAAGATGGGCAAAGATTATGGGCAATAGTGGGGCCAGCTGAAGAGGACAGAAGAAAATAGAAGAAAGTGGAGATGCGCTGTTGAAGTCCTATGTTCCACTTGGACTCCGAGGAAATAATAAGAATAGTAATATATTTTAGTACTTGAGGTCAACCATTAAATTATTATTATTATTCCCATAGGTTCCGAGTAGAACATAGGACTGTTCTCTGCAGTTGTTTTTAACTGGCCACACAAATGCTTATAGGCCCTCGTCTTCTTTTCTCACGATCTTCTCCATGTCACCCTCAGACCCACGCCCAACTTGCTTTCCCCACTCGGAATCCACTTGACCGATGGCTGGGTGTACAATATCACTCGACTGTGTCTACAGAGTATGCCTAATCCATGTCCATTTCCTTAGGCATATTTTTTGAGCAATAGGTTCATGATTACTTCCATTATGGGTAAATTTTGTTTTGATAAAGTCTCACAGTGTTATACAGTAATGTTTACTGATGACGTTTCGAGCACAATTTATTGCTCATAATCATATCAAGGTTCATGATTAGTCTGTTGACCAGCGGAGTTTCTAGTCAGCCAAGGCAGGTGTTGATAAAAGTTGGCAGCAGCCTGTTGGAAATGCTTTTCAATTTGCTTACTGGTCAAGTTTCTGACCCATAACAAAAGAATTGACTTAACTATTCAATACTCGCAGTTAAAATAATAGATTAAAATGACGCGTTTCATAACAAATAGATCAATGTAAATTAAACTGATAAGTTTACAACGATTATATCTATGAAGTTCACAGTTCTCTGAAACACACTTTCCCCCATGAATATTAATACTGTTTATCTGGTAAGTAAACATCGCTTGGCTTGTTGTGTTTGCAATTTTTAAGAAAAACGGGCCTACCTGCATTCATCATTATATTGCACGTATTATTTTGAGTTCCCAGTGTGGAACATTAGGTGGTTCAAGCTTTCAGTATTTAAGTTTTAATAGAGCATGTTTTCTTTTTTTAACAGGATGGCATTACTAGCTCCAATCACACCTAGTCTTTCCCCTTTTCCTGGCTTGCAACCAGCGAAGCGAGGTTGGTAAGCGAGTTGACGTTGGTGTAGAATCGAACCCCAAACCATGTATGTGGTTAGAGAGTATTATACCAGCTAAATAACGAAGCCTTTACAGCACTAGGAAGTAGTGAACAACAGTTTTGCCCTAGTTTGGGACTCTTCACTGGCACACAACCACTAGGTTATGAACCAAGGACCTACAGGTTACAAGGCGAGGCTGCAGACCATTCTCCCATTGGGACCTAGGTATTTGCTTACATATGCATGGGATTAATCTCTGAGACAAGCACATGGCTACTGACAGGATTAATCAATATATACACAATGATACACCCACTGACTAGATAGTTGTACACTGGTCCTCACGAGAATCAAACACACCTATCTCTACGCAAGGATTTGTAAAATGTCCAAGGATGCGCATTAGTCTGAAGACAATCTTTAAAAAAATCTCTTCGAGCAGAGCAAACCTAACTCTCTCTCTCTCCGGCGAAACGAGACCAAAATGTAGTATCACCCTGTCGGACAACCAATCGATAACCCTCTTCCTCTGTGGGTTATTCGCACCTTCGGTACATACATTAATGTATGGGTAAGCATAGTAACTCCAATCAATGATCGCTTCAATCAGTTATGCACTTCACAGACGAGCCCCATAGAGTTCATCTCGTCTGCATAGAAACGATATAGTGACACAGGCCCCTATGAACGAAGCTATCACCCACCCAATTCGACAAAATCTTTACCTCTGACAACCAATTTAATCTGTCAGCAGCCTCTGTGTATCACCTGAGACTATAGAAAACCATCCACAGTCATATCAATAAGCTGTGACAATAGTGTAGCTCCCGTTCCTAATCTCGATATAGCTGTGGAGTCAGTAACAATACGACGGTACATTCCTTTGTTAGATGTTGAAATTAGAAACATTGTACACGACTTTTGTTTAAAACGATTCATATTGGGATATAGATAACTTCTGAGTACAACTTGAAATACAGTGTGCTGTTGGTCGCTTCGTCTTCTCACTAGTCTAAACTGTCTACTTGTTTCACTACTAACCGTATTGTATACTTTGGATTTGGCAGGAACCCCTTATCCTCATCCGAAGACTATACTAAAACCGGAGAACAGCTTGTACCAGTAGACACGACTCCAGCAGTGAACACTTCTGTGGATTATATTAATAATTTGTAGCAGTGAACTTCAATTGTATAAACAAGTAACGGAATAATTTATATGACTCATTACTGTATTTTTTATAATATACTGTTACACTGTCGTCTCACTGACTTGGATTTTTATTCGAATACTTGTTCTGTTACTGAGCTCGCTAGAAAGCCTCCTACATAGCTTCTGCTATGATTACTGTAAGACTTATAGGTAGTAAGCAAGATAGCCCAGCTCACCACTGTCAAACCCAAACAAGCTAAAAACCCATGATCACAAGCCGTAATACCATTATCGTGCATCCCTGAGTCACTTGGGAGCAACACACAAATTTTCAGTTTTCCAACCTTTCGGACCCTGAGTTAGAGGTAGTATGACTTGTGACATACAACAAAACTGAAAGATCTCAACTGGAAAACATCCGATTCCACTATCAGAATGCCTAATTATTACCATGAAAATGAAGAGCTTTTTACTCGTAGGTAGTTTTGATAACTATCTAAATCTCAAAGCAAACCACAATAGTTATCCAAGTAGGATTCAGTGAGTTTATAAAATTTCAGGGAAACTAGTCTTACTAACATCCACCGTAACTCGTTGTATACACTATGACAAAAGTGAAAAAGTATGCATAAAATTAATAAATACTCAAGTATACCGAAAACATCATAGAAACAAAAGGTAATCATATGGCTGTGAGTGCAGGCTATAAGGTGTTTGAAATCAATATACACAGGTGAATTATATTAAGTTTGAATAAACATCTTGATATTTTGTCTTATCAAAAAGACTTACGAAAAGTCCCATACATGCTAATACGTATCCAGTGTCGCACAAAACACACGAGACTTTTGCACCCTCTGTCATGTGATCTTTTAGACTTTCAAGAATAAGTGCATGCTGTATAATAAAAGTGGAAATAAAATTTCATGGTAGGAAACTAAGCCATTAGAATATGATTTTAAAAACACAAAATGCTAATGTATATATATATATATATATGTTGCCAAAATCTATCTTTCTGACTACCTGCGAGGCTTTTACAATAAAGAGAAGAAGTCAAATGGCAAATATCATCAAAGGCTTATTTGATGGGGTCATTACAATACCTTAGAATATGTGGGAGATCGTGGAAGATATGTAATTCTTACTTTTAAGCATAACATAATATTGTATGAATTACTTAATTGCCTCCATTGTGGATAAGATTTTATTTTGATAAATCACACAGTGTTACACAGTAATATTAACTGATGACGTTTCGAGCACAAATTATTGCTCATAATCATATCAAGTTACTCATACACACAGTGCCCAAGTTTTATACTTATACTTAATTACCTTATTTATTAGACTCAGATTCAGGATACTGCAGCAGCTATGAATCTAGACCTGAGCACAACAAGATTACTTCTTTCTTCTACGGATGGAAGATGTTGCATGAAGTTCGCATCTACACCGTGGGAAAACACCAGGTTGATGGTTGAGAGGTAGAGCTAAGAATCATAAAGTGCAGCTTTCTTGATGAACTAATGGGATGGGAAACAATACCACCTTATGGTTAAAGGAGTTTTCTGAAGGCAGAGTTGTAAAACATGTACAATCAACTAGTGGTGTGTTGAAATCGTCGACAATAAGAATCTGAAACTTGCATATCCATGAACCTAGTTTCTCTACATGAAAATTATCTGTGGTGCAAGTGGAATTGTTAATTTGCTATGAAGTCGATATCTTGGCCTTTGCATTTTGGTCTGCAGAGCAGACGTCCTCATGATCCACTCTCATGTACAACAGATTCTGCACTACAAGGTACTATACACCTGTTAAGATAGATTACCATCCAACCTCCTGTGGTGTTTATTCAGTTTGCCCTATGCGATGTGAACGTTCGGATGTTAAATGCACTGTCAGAGTCCATTTACTCAACAGACGGAGGACGTCAGCATAGTAAATTGTTAGTTTCGTCTAAGTGCTTCTGTGTTCCACACATAGACGTCTGGTGATGATCACGTCGCAGAACTTTTACCACCAGAAAACTCCTGTTAACAAGAATTCAGCCGTTGTGGCGGCGCCATTTGCCTAAGTTCAATGCACCAGGTTGTCTCTTGATATTGTCTGCTGGCCATAATTTGCATATGGGTAGACGCCTGATCCCTTGAGAATGTGAGCAATACTCAGAATCACAAACCCTCACATCAAGTGATTTACTGTGGAGTTAGCATTTCGGTCAGTACTATAAAAACTGTGAATGGTTATATTTATTACTTTTGTAGACAGTAGCTTGTCTAAAATTGGTTTGACCGAATGCGAATGTGTCTACTGAGTCTGGAGTTTTGGATCACTCTATTTGTGGAAAATAACTGACCTGTTGGAGGTACCATACACCTCGTGTAGTGTTTCTCTTCACCACATCAAGCCATTTGGTAAGGTTCTCTTCATCAACTAAGTTTAGTGATGCTAAATATTTACTTCCACTGGTTTTCCAATATACTGATAAACAGACGAATTATAAAATCATTCTTTGTTCTAAGGAAAGCATACTGTAATGAAATTAGGAATCACGCAGTTGAAGGATAGAACAACTAATTTGTTTATTGACCCGAATAATACACTGCCCAGTATAATGCACCACTAACATAAACCCTATTATTACTCCTGATTAAAATGAGACATCGAACTACATACTACTGCAATGATGGTAAATGATTTCATGAAGTAAACAGCTCACAATTTCAAAGACATTTCACATTTTAATGCACTGAAATCCATCAACCATTCAAGTAGGTTAACAACTTTCCACGTTAAGTTTAAATGTCAGTGCAAGATTCCCACGTAGCTAAACATCTATCTAAAAATCATGAATCTGATGAATGCAGCTACTGGATGTGTTTATAGGCCATCGAGAGTTGAGTAATAAACCATAATGTATCCTTTCATGATAATAGTGATTTATAACTCGAAATTTTATTGGACTTACCGTGTGAGGCGCACCAACAATGACGCCATGCTCACCTGGTTGTGCACTATCTGCATATGGATTTTGCGGGACGAAAAATAGACGATCAACGAGACCCATTTTTTCTTTAACAACCGAAGATTTTATATAACCCTTTTCTACAGAAATGAGTCAACCAAAATGTAACGTGGACTTGCTGGATAGGTATTCTATCAGATCTTTATGGGTTTTGAGATCTGATGAATAAGCCACTGCTCTTAGTAAATACAGAATGTTTGCAGTTACAAAAACGTATTTGATGAATATGGTTGCAATCATACTTCACATAGATGTAAGGATTACTGGAGCACAGGGAGCAGATTCACCTGTGAAACAAGAAGAAGCACATACTGAGCAAAAACTGACAAGATGGAATGAAGCATACAAGTAATAACACGTAGCTTGTAAGCGAGGTAAAAAGTGTATTGGGAAAGTTAAAGTATCACAATCAAAGCCAAGGACTTTCAGGATACATGGAACGCTGTAAAAGGCGATTCCCAAATAAAATCATGCCTACCTTTCTAGAATTGGAGAAGGCAGATGCAGTGTTCCACTTATTCTCCTGGTAATTTTTCTGTAAATACAAATTGATGGGCGGGGTTAAAGCTTTTAAGATTAGCTTCGAGGGTGAAGGTCATGATCAGGGTGGAATTTAGGATTAAGAGTAAGAAGTAGGTTCAAAGTTAGGTGTAGATCAAATAACAGTGTCAGAAACACCATTGTATCTTAAAGTACCATGACCAACAGTCACCTGCCACGTCATTAAGCCTAGTATAATGCTGAATTAAATCTCACTAATTCTGAAATAATTCTTACATTAAAGAATCCATTTCAAAACAGATTAAGAATTTACTCACTATAGAATGTAAGAATTATTTCAGAATTAGTGAGATTTAATTCAACATTATAGTAAGCTTAGGTACAACTTAGCCACATTGCACGGACTGTCCGATCTTGAGCACATAGGATTCGAAGTGAAATGCACTGAATCATTCTAGTGGCCCATGCAGGTGCATATATATATGGACATGATTTTCCCCAAATTTAATGAATTGGGTATTTATGCGTGCATAAATAATTATCACCCATGGAATGATTTCTCTATAGATCATCTGTATAATAATTTTAAAAATTCTTACAACACATAAGCGACACTATTAAGTATAATATAACGTTGGCAATGTTTTTCAATGCTTTTTTCAACGATTATGTGAATTTATTGCAGCTGAACTCTGATTGGTTGTGCAAGACCACCACGGTTTTGCTTATGATAATCCAGCTTTGCCTATTATTGAAGAAAGAAACACCGTAATACTGCAAATATGAGATATACATATCAATTTAAGGAATGTTACAACAGAATTGTTGAAAACCCGCTTTTTTGATAATGACAAGATTTTCAATATTTTTGAAGCATTAAAACAAATAACACTCAGGATGAACCCCAGTAGAAGCTGACTGCAAAAAAGCTATATCACAAATCATCACGGAGCAGTCATTCATTTTTTCTGACAAGCGATATCTAACGTAAGATATCAATCGGTTATTATTTCTGTAATCACTTCATCACAGGTAAGGTAAGTTCCAATAAATTTCCAGCAGACTCGACAAGTGGAGAGGAAAATAGGCCTAGTATTTTTCTATTACTCGAAGTATATTACTTGACTGATTACTTCCGTTTTGGCTTTAATGAGATGCACGAATTGAACGTAGGGTATACCATACCAGACAATAAATAGATATAAATAAATAAATAAATAAATAAATTTATTCTCATAGTACAGTACATGAGGGACGCCAGTTTACAGGCATCATCAAATTGTTACAGAAATAGAACCATATAATTTAATCACAATTTACAGCCAGTAGCAAGATATGCTTTACATGTTCGATAGAGATTATACATACACTTGATAAATGTTAATTCCAGTAGTATAAAACAGCCTTTTCACTTATATATAATCATTTCTGTGCAAAGTTGGAAAAATCTGCTAGATTGTCAGTGAGTGCAACACAACAGGAAATACAGGAGTATTGTCTTCGCATTAACAAAAAACCAGGTCTTTGGTGGATGGATTATAAGTGCCTGGGAAAAAAATAAAGCTTGAAGTAAATATTCATACATAACTTTGTTGTGTGCAGAGTCCTCGAATTATAGTCCATTGATGTGTTATTTTGAAATCAGTGATGTGTTTATCTCATTTGATCTGCAATGTCATTGTTGGGAGTAAGTACATAAGCTTCGGACGCATTAATTAATGGATTTCTACTGATTACGGGTATTTTCTTAGCGTTAGGAAGGTTTATGAGTTTCAGCTGTTCCGACAGGAGTTGAGAATATTAACTGCTCAGCAACATTATGGGTATAAGTTCATCACATTATCTAAGGAAAGGTGGGTTGCAGTTGGTGAGGGATATATGGTACCCAACGAGCGTTCATCTGTCCTTGTGATGTTGTGGTGAGTTATACCTTTTTCATGTTGTCGGTTTATGTCCATTTTATTCCACTTATTGTGTTGGGTAGTAGTTTTACAAACGAGATTTGTTGTCTGTTTGAGGATACGTATCTTAATCGTTAATGTTTTATCTAGAATTATAAATATAGACAAAAGACAACAGGTGTAGTATTTAAGCTTATACATTAAATGGACCTATAATTTCGGAGGCTCTCAGATAGGAACTAGAACTAATATCGTTTGCAAACTCTTGTAGTTTGTCATTAAGCACCTTTTTGAAGGAGGCCAATGTACTTGCTTGACGCATTTCCATTGGCAGCTTATTCCATATCTGTGCATACCTAATCAAGTAAAACTTTTGCCTGGTGGCTGTTTTACATTGTTCGATAGCTACTGTACCCTTAGTGTGTCTTAGTTTGTAGCCATTGTCATCTGAAAGTCGAGTGCCATTAGTAGAGGTAAAAGCTAAGTGGTTTAGAAGCTTATAGTAAAGTGTCAAGTTTAGTCTCAGGCGTCTTAGCCATAGTGTTTCTAGTCCTAGGGTATCACATCTAGTGGAGTAGTTCGCACCATTTTCGGTTCCGATTAATTTTAACGTGAAGTACCTCTGCACTCCCTCGACTTTCAATTTGTCCTCTATGCGTATGCTACTATACATGAATGAACAGTAATCAAATAAAGGACGCACACAAACCTTGTACAACAGAATTCTAGACTCATTTCTGTAGAAGTTCCTGAGTAGAAAGCCGATAAGTCTGCGTGACTTTGACACTTGTTTGGAGATGTGTTCAGAAAATGATAAGTTATGTGAATATTTCAGCCCTAGGTCCAGTACAGATTCCAGTCGTTGAAGTGCATGGCCTTGAATTGTCAGGTCAAGTTCTAAATTGTTGCAACCTATGCAGAGCCAGCCACATTTTTCGACATTAGATTGGAGTTTCCAGGTGTCACACCATCTATCCATTTTTTCTAACTCTTGCCGTATGGCGTTTACTGTTATTCCAAGATCTGTGTTCTTGCATTTATACGTCACTTTTAAGTCATCTGCATATAGTATTGGTTTACCTACACTAAAGCATTCACAGATACTGTTTATATATATTATGAATAAGAGTGGGCCTAATACACTTCCCTGGATTACACCACTACTTACTGGTTTAGGCCTTGAGATTATCGAGCCAACTTTCGTTGTCTGACTTCGGCCACACAGAAATGATTTTATCCAGCTCAGGAGAGGATCACATATCCCTAGTGAGCATAACCTGCTGACTAGCAGATTATGGGGAACTCTGTCGAAGGCTTTTGTTATATCGAAATAAAGCACAATTACTAGTTCTCTGTTGTCCCTACTTCGTGTAACTTCGTTGAAAAAGTCTATGTGACAGGTCACGCATGATCTCTTTTTGAGAAATCCGTGTTGTGATGGATTGATAAGACCATGTTCTAGTAAGCTGTCTGACACTTGGTCTTTAACCACTTTCTCCATTATTCGGGATATTACCGGTGTTATACTGATAGGTCTATAGTTGCATACACTGGTTTTGGCCCCTGCTTTGTGCTTAGGTAATATGTATGTGGTTTTCCACACTTCAGGATAAGTTCCAGTTTCCAACGAGAGAGTAAATATTCTAAGTAACAAGACTACCATTTCCGTGCTACCATTTTTGTACATGACAGATGGTATGTCATCTGTTCCAGTACTACCGTTAGACTTCAAAGTCTTAATCGCTGAGTCTATATTTTGTATATTAAAGTCTATTCCGCCTAATTTGTGGTTGCTTCTGCAAGTCATTTGGAAATTTGGGGTTGGGTGCACTCTGGCGTCATTGCAAAACCACTCATTGAGGAGTTCGCTTATAACCTGGGGATCATTGTGTATTATACCCTTATGCTCCAAGCTGCTTACAGTATTGTCTTTACTACTTTTTAGACGTCTCTGCAATATCCTACAAAGTTCCTGAGTTTTGGAGTTACCCACAAGCGCTTTATTTTCTTCAAGTTGTGACCTCATTTTGTGTTTCTCTTCAAGCCGTTTAAGAGTTTCATGTATTTGGTTTAACGCATTAAATTCCTTAAATACATGGTATTTCCTTTTCAATTTCTTTAGTTTTAGTCGCGTTTTGCGGTCGATAAATGGAGTTGGTGTCTTTAGAGCAGATTTTAGGGGCGCGATTATGTCTCTTGCTGAGCCAATTGTTTTGTAGAAAATATCGAGTGATACTTCTAAGTTATTGTTAATGAAGTATTCTTCCCAGTCAGAACTTCTCAGCAGATCTGATAGGAATTCCCAATCGGCATTCTTATAGTCCCTATACTGATAGTGCACCGGGGAATTTTTAGGTGTGTGTTTAGTTGTTAGTCGGAATGGTAGCGTGCAGTACAATATGTTGTGATCACTGTTATCAAGTTTATTTCCTACCTCTATCGAGATGGGCTCAATTTCATGACAAAGGATTAAGTCAAGAGTGTTTTCATTTCTTGTAGGGAGGCGTACGCACTGCTTCCATCCGCCTACGTCTATAGCTTGTAGTAGCTCGTCATGGATTCTAGGTCCTGTACAGGTATCCCAGTTTACTCCAGGTAGGTTGAAATCGCCACAAACTACTTTGTAGTCAAAGTCCAGCGTAGCTGCATGCTCTAGTATTTCTCCAATAGCTATATCAGTCATTTCAGGGCAATTAGGGGGTCTGTATAAACATCCCACGAGAATTTTATTTTCGTTTGTGTGGATGCTTATCCACTTAGATTCAGGGAGTTTGTCAGTAGTTGGGTTATTGAAAGTATTGGAGTTAGTGGATTTAAAGGCATATATTAAGCAGCCGCCTCCTCTTTTGTCAACTCTATCGTTCCTATAGATGTCGTAGTTGTCTATTACTAGCGTTGAGTCAGGTATATCAGTAGTAAGCCAGGTTTCAGTCACCATTATTAGTGTTGGCCGTTCTATGTATGCCAGGCAGCGAAGCGATGTTATTTTGTTAAGGAGGGATCTAGCATTCAGGAGCATAATCGTTAGTAAACCAGAGTTATTGGGGGAGAGGTTAACATGGTTACTTGTTACTATTCCTACGTTATGTTTGGAGGGGCTCTGAGGTGAGACAGAGTCAGTGTGTGTACTATTTCCTGGATGAATTGTGCAGCGAGTGGGGCTATTGTTTGCTGCATCCGAAAATAATCCTGTTGCATGTTTTGACTTTTAGCATCCATGGGTGGGCATCTGCGTTCATTTACTGGTGATATATAGTTTGCTTGACCTAGGTACCCTGTGTTAAGATTACCTTGGTAGTTGTACCTCATGGGTCTTACATAGTCGTATGCATATTGG